GGGTGGGGTTGGGTGAAGTGAGGTGGGGTGGAGTGGGGTAGCAGCAGAGGCGTGCGAGCGGCTTCGACTGCTGAAACGGATGCATCGAACGCGCGGCACCGCGGCCGCCGCCCACGCAGCCGCGAAGCGAACAGGGGTCTGCACAGTGGCCGCATGCGTACGACCGCTGCTTTGCATGGGACGAGCATCAAGATCATGCCAGATCGTTGGATCACAAGCGTCAAATTACGTGGTCTCGAACCTTGTAAGCCATCATCCCGTCGATCTCAACGAAAGAAATGTGGCCGCACTGGCTCTTGGGCGCGGCGGGCGGGTAGTTAATCGGGCAGTTGGCGGTGTTGGTCTCGGCGCCGCCTGCGGGTGGTTGCGGCATGCAGCAGGCAAAACCGCTTGAGGACCGGGGTTCAGGGGAAAAAGTCCTGCTGTTGTCCTTGTAAAAAGAGGTGCTTGCTCGTATCCGTCGGTCCCTACAGGCCTGCAAACGCTTGTGAGCACACAAGACCAAGCTTGTGGGCATGCAGGACCAAGCAGCGCCCCCAATGGGCAGCCGGGCGTGTGCGCCTGAGGCTGCGAACGCCCGGCGGCGTGGGGGACCCTCGAAGCGAACTGCCGACCCGCTGCGCTGTCCCTGTGGCAGGCGGTGCACCTGTCGTCCCCAACCCATGGCTTTGCCGCGCAAGATTCTCGAACCCTGGTCCAACAGCTCAAAACAATCACTGCACCCTGCTGCCCCCAAATGCTCACCATAATCAGCCGAGAATGACGTCATCGGCAGCGCGCCCCCGTACCCGTCCGCGGGCGTGTCGGTCCGGAAGAACCAACCCCCGGAATAGATCTTCGGAGGCACCCCATTCCCGGTCAACAGGCTGGTCAACGCCTCCGTCGCCGGCTGCACGTTTGACCGCACCCTTGACTGCATCAGCGCGAGCTCGCTCGGCCCCGCGAAGCCGGAGGGTCGCCTGTAGCGCCCCTTGACGCGCGGCGCGAGGCGCATGCGGGAGAGGCGCTGGCGCGCGGCGGCGGCGGCGCGGGAGGCGAGGGCGAGGGACTTGACTGCGGAGATGACCGGGGTGGTGAGGGTGTCGGGGACCGGCTGCTGGACGATCGTGACCTGATTGGCGGTTTCGGGTGCATTTGGGTGGATATGTTAGGGAGCATTGTGCGGGATCTTTGTCGCAAGGCTGAAGTGCACGTGGGGTTCATGGGGAGGGGCCGCCCCAGGGGTGCGCCGTCGGTGTGGCAGGGAGGCGGCAGCGAGCACGTGCGGTTCAGGGGGCTCACCACGAAGCGCTTTGCAGCCGCCGCTGGCTCGTGCTGTTCAGACTGTTGGTCGTGCGAGACTTTTCACAAAGCATGCACTCCAGGCACCATACCCACGCCTTACGCCGCAACCCACCCTACCCCGCCAGCCTGGTTTCAGCCTGCCGCCTGCCCAAACCCCCAGAGTAACCTCGGAGTATTCACATGGACCCCTCTCACCTGGGTCCGCCGCGTCACAGGGTCAAAGCTAAAGGCAGGGACCGCCGCAAACGCCTGCTTGGTGCACCTTCCAAACAAAAAATCAACTCTGGCATTGTACAGGGCACCTGCCGTGTCCACGTCAGCACGGCGCGCTGTGCCCAGCGCCGCCACGGCGCCCCCGGCCCCGCGCGCGGCGGCCGCAACGGCCGCGCGGGCGGCCGGCGGCAGCGGCGCTGGGCGGTGAGATTCGCAGCATTCTGATCTCAGATCTGCAGCGTCGAACGGGATCGAGCTGCAGTGGACGATCTGCCACTCGCTCTGGCAGGAGTCTGCAAGTTCGAGGTCTGCCGCCGTCGCGGGCGCGGGCCAGGAAGCGCCAGCGTCCACGACGACGGGCGCGGCGGCAGGGGCTGCATCCAGCTCGGCGGCGGCGGCGAGGGCTGCCTGGGGACGCCGGCGCGTCGGGCCGGCCGGAGCGGCGGCGGGCGGTTGGGTCCTACCGTAGCACGTGCAGCGGAGCGCGGCATGCAAGGGCGGGGAATGGTGGCGTCTACGGGCCACGCTCGTACCTGCTGTGGGTCACTCTGTGCCTCTCCACGGTGTGCCAGCAATAGCAGCACAAGGACGGCCCACATTTTTGCCAGCCCCGCGGTGTCACCGCGGCAACACCCCTGTGTCAAAGTTGCTTCAATTGCAATGCTGATAAGATTATTGATGAGTGAACTAATTTAAAAGGTTGTGTTCGAAGTTCTAGCTCTACAGAACACGGAGTGGAGGATCGCGGAACCACTTCTGCTTCCACCCCTTGTAGAGCAACTGGCGCATCAGGCTGCGTGAGAAGAATGCAGCGCCCAGCAGCCCTCATCACTGGCGCGGCCAGCGGCATCGGCCTAGCGCTTGCGGTAAAGATGACGAGCGGCCAGCGGGCGTGCATGCGCTTGCTGCATGGCTCGCGTCCCGCTGCCGTCCCGGCAGCATACAGACAGCGCAGCCCGTCGTAAATGGATTTACTAGCGCTTCTGCATCCATCTTCGCCCTTGACAGGATGAGCTGGCGCGCAGGGGGTATGACCTAACAGTGCTAGACTTGGACGGCAGGGCGCTCGCCGCAGCGGTGAGCGCGGCCCTCGACGCCGCCGCCACTCGCCCGCGCAAACGTCTATACGCAGCATACTGCAGCGGATGTGACCTTCTACAGTCCCGCTGACCCTCATGCTGATCAAGCAATGGGGGATGTAACAGATCCAGGGGTCACTCCCTAGGCTGTTGATCAGGCCCCACTGACTGCTGGCCTGCAGGCCGACAGCCCTGCAGCCCCGCATGAGGCACTGCATGCACACCCCCATGCGCACACATGCACGCGCCCCTTCAGGAAACCCTGGGAACCTCCATGCATGCCTAAACCCCGACCCTGGGAACCTCATTCATGCCCAAATCGTAACCCCCATCCCCAGGAGCCGCGCCTGCTCGCGCACGGCGGCGCCGTGGCCTGTCACATTCTAGACGTGTGCGATGCGGCGGCGCAGGCGGCCGCCTTCCGGCAGCACATGGCGCGGTGCGTCCCCGCATGGCAGTGGGATCCCTTAGACATGGCGATTGGGTCTGTAGGGACTGCTTCAGCCGGCAATCGATGTTTCTGCCATTGAAATCCAGGCATGAGCACAGGCTGTTGTCCGTGTGTGGCATCTGGGATTCGAACGTCGCTCGGCAACAGACGGGGAGCGCACTGCCCAGGGGGCGCAGCAAACCCTCACGCGGGCGGTGGTTGGCGCCCGATTGGGACACTCCCGGGGCACGTCCCTGCATGCAATCGCTCGCATGCAAAGGGCGCGCTGCACCAGCCTCTCCGCCGCCGCTAGACTCTCCTCTCTCCCCGCTGCTGCGTCCCCCTCCCCCATTGCGCTGTGCCAATTCCGCAACCGTCCAATTCCCTCTCTCATCGAATCCGCGACCCTCCACACGCATACGCCTGCACTCCGAATTTCAAATTTGTCCGACTGGCAGCTACAGACGGCTGGACGCAGCGATCCTCAACGCCGGCATAGGAGAGCGCGGGGTGCGTGGGCTGCGTTCCGCAACACGCGGAGGGGACGGGCGAGGCCGGGGCGGGGTGGGCCACTTCCACTGTTACCCTGGGTGCGTTGCACTTTGGGCAGAAAACAAGTCTCAGTCCCCAGGCCAGGTGAGGTCACTCCGACGACCCCACTGCAACCCCTCCACCTATGCCCTGATGACGCCCCATTCCCTCCACCCCCGGCACAGCCTGAAGATCCCCCTCCTCCCGCACTGCCCACACCCTGCGTCCCGTGCTCAATACGTCGACTCACCTGACCGCGCCCTCGCAAAAGCCATCCCCAGGACTTTCTGCTCGCGGATCCCTCGGACTCCACGCACAGCACAACCTTGGACGTAGATCTGGACGCAGCCATCGCCGGCGTCCGCCTCGCGGCACACTGCATGATGCGCGGCGGCTCCATGCTGCCTGCTGCAGGCGGCGCCGGCGGGGCGGGTGGCGGCTGTGTCGTTGCCGTGGCCTCTGCTGCAGGTGAGCGTGCATGCGACTCGCAGCGCCGAGTTGTTTTTTGGCAACGGCGCGCTCATCCCGCGCATGACCGGTTTCCGTGCTGTGCCATTGCAGTCCTCTTCCTGCGGCTTCTCTGCAGGCGCAGCCACGCGGTTTGCGCTTTGCACTGCAGGCCAATCGCCCGACTTGTGTTGCGATGATGCCAAGCACATGTGCCCCGTTCAGGCATACACTTGCACCATAAGACAGCCCATTACGCACGGCACCATCGGCATTCCTGTTTGACCCCAGGCATTTTCCCTGTGGCTGCCGGGCCCATCTACGCGGCGGCAAAGGGCGGTTTGGTCCATTTCATGCGGTCAATCGCGTCCCGCCTCGCGGCGCGCGGCGTGACGGCGGCTGCAGTGTGCCCCCAGGTGTGGCGGTCTGGCTCGTGGGGCGGCAGCACAGTTGCACTGTTTTGACTCTCTCGTGTGTGCGGCGCCGCGCCGCGCCGAGGGAGGCGAGGCGCGGTGGAGCTGGCGCGGAGGTTGTTTGTGGGGCTTGAATTTGAACCAAAAAGCGGGCTCCGGAAACTGGACTTGAGTGGAGTGAAAGGCTTCGTGCTGATCCCCTATGTCTGGCCCCTTCTTCATATGTCCTGAAAGGAGCAGCTTCTAACCCTTTGCCCGCCACGCCCAACCTGCACTACTCATAACACCGACGCAACCCCGTGTCACCCATGCGTCACCCATGCGACACCCTGTGTCACCCGCCGTGCAGTACGTGGACACCCCGATGGTCCAGTCGATGCTGCGCGACCACCCCGAGCATGCCAAGGCCATGATGGGGCCGCTGTACGGCATGAAGCTGCTCAGCCCCTCGCAGGTAGGTGGCGTCACCCGCGGATGTCACTTGGTGACGCGGCCTGTTGACGCCAGGCTCCTCGGCCGGCGCGTCTGATAATCTGCTGCCGTGAATGCATCGGCACCTCAACACTTCATTTGGGCAGAGGCTTCAAGGCCCGTTTCAGTCTGTTTTGTGGGGTCTTGGTTGGTTGCCTTGTTGCCCTGTGGTGCTTTGGTCTAATGGCGATTTTGCCTTATAGGCGGCTGGCACGCAAGACTGTCATGCGAGATGCACCTCAACCCCGCATTGCCCGGCTGCCAGGTGGTTGACGTCGTGCTCGGAGTGATCTCAGATCACGAGGCCGCGCGGCGGCAGGACGGCGCAGCGAGCGCCGCGCGGCGGCGGGCCCTAGAGGATGGTGCAGGCAGCGTGCGGCTGCTGCTGCAGAATGGGAAGGTGGTGGACCCCTTTGCCCTTCGCCCAAAGCAGCAGCAGCAGCAGCAGCAGCAGCAGCAGCAGCAACAGCAGCAACAGCAGCAGCAGCAGCAGGACACATCCTCAGCACCCCGCGCCCGCGCGGCCGCGGCCGCCCCCGCGGGCGCCGCCGCTGCGTCCCTGGCGCGCTTCTCTCCGCAGGCGCTGCGCGACTACGCATCCGGGAAGCTGCCGGGCAGCTACCGGAAGCTGCAGGTCGTCGGGCTCAGCACCGACTTCCGCGCGGCGACGCGGATTGTGGAGGTGGCCATGCCGGCGGCGGCGGCCCTGCCGGCGGGCGCGGTGCTCGTGCGGCGGCTGTTTGCGGGGGTCAACGCCTCGGACATCAACTACACATCGGGCCGCTACGTGAGCAGCCTGATCTGGGGTGATCTGGGGTGATCTGGGGCGATCTGGTGTGATCTGGGGTGATTTGAGGCGCTGGTGATCACCTGTATGTTGCACTCCAGCTCACGTACGCATCTGCCTCTGCCTGTGCCAGCTGCCAGCGGCCATCCTGCGTGCGCGGGCCCACACCTGCTGGCCCAAAACACGCCCCTCACATCATGGCCACCTTGTTACCCCCCATCCTCCGCCGCTCCTCGCTCACCCTGCCCTTTGTCCGCCCCCCTCGCCCACGGCCGTCCGCCGCGCCCGCGCCCCGCAGCACGGCAGCGCGGCGGCGGCGCAGAGGGCTCTGCCATACGACGCCGGCTTCGAGAGCGTCGGCGTCGTCGTCGCGGCCGCGCCCGACGTCCGAGGTTAGCGCCCCGCCTCGGCCTTTCCGCTCTCTCTCAGATCAAATCAGCTTCACCCGACGTACGATGGGCGCCTATCCCCTTGAAGCGCTGTGCGCCTGAGATCTGCTTCTCAGGGAAATGATCGCGCTTTTCGGCCGCTCGGCAATGACACCACCTGCAGTTGTTTTAATTGTTTCAACTAGATGCCTGGCAACACGGCCAGGGCCCACAGGCTCCCCCCTCCAGCCCCCCTCCCACCC